TTCATAAAAAATGTATTTTATGCACATAATCTGCAGCAAATGAAATGAAAAAGTAAACTGAAAGAGGTAAACATTAAAGGTTTTTAGCAAGTTTTCCAAAATCACTGATCATCATCTGCTGCGCCTCTTGTCCCACAATGGTGCAAACATATTCATTTAAAGCCTGGAAATGACCAAACTGGTGCAGATGCAAACAGACTTGTGCTGCAGGAAATGGCATAAAGTCTTTCTGCTGACTTCTCAAGGTTTTCAACTCAAGATGTTTCTACCAATCTCTTTTGACTATAGTATCAAACCTGTTAAATGCACAAAGTAAATTAGATAACTCTTGCCACCTCCTTCTGTTTATCATTTTATCCCCCTATACCCTTAATTTTCCAGTCACTGGGCGCAAAAATGTAATTGATCTCTACAGTAAGACAAAAATACAGTCTACTGAAGCAAGTCATTTCATGGGGGTTTTATTGTGAGATCCATGCAGAGAATGACATTAAAATAGTCAATAGAGGCAATTCAGTATGGTAATAGTAGTCAGGGGCGGAGGTTTAATGTAAGATTAAGCAAGGCCAAATGAAGGCTAATTGGGCACAGCTTCATTTCACTTGTGCAAAGAAATTGGCCTGTTTTGTTCTGAAATCCTGACAGCCAAACTGACAAACCCATCTAATGAATTGGTAATTTATTTTATTGTATTTATTTTTATGATTTATTTATTTTCTCTGCAGGTTCAGAGCATTTACCTGCCGCGTTTAGGCCTATACTTAAGGCAGGTCATGTTTTAGATTATTAGGTAGAATCAGAATTGACCTGCAGAAAGGTGAAAGGTCAGTTCTTGTTGAGCTTTGCCATGCAGCAAGTTGTTTATACCAGGGTTACCAAAATGGTGCCAAGACTAAGTTTGGATTCAAAACACTGTCAAAGAAGAATAAAAAAGTGCTGAGCTTTTTTGAGGCAGCAGGAACTGTGTAGTCCTTCCAAACCGTCTACCTGATAACAACAGTTCAAAGAGTGAACGTCCTGGGTGTGAAGTGTCCTTAATGATGTTCTGAGCTTTTTTGAGACAGCAGGAACTGTGTAGTCCTTCCAGACTGAGGAGAGGGCAGCCGATGATCTTCTGAGCCATATTAATGACCTTCTGGAGCATTTTCTTCTGAGCCACTGTGCTGCTGCTGTACCATACATATATACAGTATATAAGGATGCTCTCAATGGAGCACCGATTGTACACCAGCAGTCTCTGGGAGATGTTGTTCTTCC